AACTAAAATAAATAATACATTGAGTACACAAGTAGGTATATTGTATAAACAAAATAATTAACAGGTGTAGATAAAACAACCACAAAACTTCAATGTGGCAATATCAATACTGACAATATTGCCATAACAATAACTCTGTACAAGGAAGAAACACACAATCGCGACGGAAAAAGTAAGAGAGCTTATTGTAAATCGTTGAAATCGGGGCAAGTCTATCGGTTTTTTTTACGTTCCTCTCTAGTGGTTTGGTCATCAAACCTTAGCGCTGTTAGAAATACTAAAAAACGTTTTAATGACATTGTACACCTGAAAATTTCTCTGCCAGTACCATCCGTGGCAAAAATTGAACTCAAGTCTTCATTATTCGATTTAAATATGGCAGAATAAAACAACAGACCAATAAATGCTTTGAGCTCAATAATATCTAGGTCTCTCAGATCTGTTCTATTAAAATCTGAATATTTTTGTCGAATACTGGTAAGTTTTTCATTTGTTCTCAGAACAATCTCTTCTAATATATCGTTTGTAATGATGCGTTGCCAAGCACTCTTTTCATAACAGAAGGAGCCAAGAGACTTAGCCGGTCCAATATTTCCAGGAAGATGTGAGATAATGTTGTAACTAATGTGTTTGTGGGTGGAGCTTCAGCGGTCCATTTGTACCGATTCTTACCGTAGTAAGTTTTAGGAGTACCTGCTGTGTTGTTTGATTGGAGTTCGTCTGAAACAGCTTGTGCAGATATGCTGGGTTGTTGATTATCGGGATCGATCTGTGTAGGTGTACTTTCTTGGTGGCCATCTAGATCATCGGATGTAGTATCCATACATTCCTCCTCATATTCGATTTCTGAATCAGTTTCGTGTTCGCTGACATAGTTGGAATCATTTTCCGAGTCGTCATCACCGCTGTAGTCACTCTCTTCTGCCTCTAAGGCACTCTGAGCCCACTGCTCAAACCTCGGGTCATCGCTCTTCATTTTGTTAATGTCCATTTTGCCCTAAAAACGCAAAAATATAAATCAAAACATAACTCAAAAAAGTAACGCAACTGGTGAGGTGGGGTCGTGATGACCCCACCCGACAGTTATTGCTGTGTAATTCGTAAACACTTACCGATTCGCGCGCGGCTGTTCTGCTGGACATCTCGTGGCATACTAACGAAAAGGTACTGAAGCGCTTTAGTACCATACATTACTTTCCCGTTTGCACCCGCCAATCAAAATCCGTTTAATTCCCAGTGCCCGATTTCGACCGAAAAGGGCTTTCGTGTAACATCGTATTTGAAAAGGTCCGCGCCGTTTTCGATCAGCTGACTGTGAAATTTTACCGTTCAAGTTGGTTAATTCGTTTAATTTAATATTTAATCCATATTTAATCGTTTGCTAGCCTTTCTGGGTGTTTGAACGATTTTATATACGGTCACTACTATTTTCCCGTCAATTTGTGTTTCATATTAGCACAGAATATCTAGCTACGCAAGAGCTAGATATTCTGTGAAGATTTACAATTTGTGAATGCGTTTTGGGGATCCAGCGATTCATAGAACTTTGATAATTAATATTACAGACTGGATTATTTTTAATTTGTGTTGTTTCACTTAATTTTGTGAAAAACACTATAATAAGAAGAAACGTATTATTTGCCCACTGTGTACTCTAAATATGGTAGTCTGTATATAGTTTGTGGCTGTATAGTTTGTGGAAGTTGCCGTATATTGCAACAACATTTGAAGGTAAACACCATGAAGTAAAATTGGAAATGGAAACACATAACTTTGCCTATGACTTTGATACTAAGGAAAGTTATAAACTGTGGTATGAAAAACAGAAGATCAAGATAAATTATGCATTCGCCAAGAAAATATAATGACTATGTGGAAAAAAACTTACAATTATTATCGTAATCATAGGTAAAATAGATTGGGTTAGGTAAAATATAAATGAAAATTTTAGGATACATCAGCAATTGTTCTAAATGAACAGAGAAGGCCAGTAGTTCAATAAAAAGACCATATAATGAGCCATAAAAGGAAAATGGATAAGCAAGAATTATTCCCAACAAAGTGAAAGAGGTTATTGGTTTAAGGCTTTATTTCGTTTGTTTTTGGTCTTACTTAAGTAAATATATGTATTGACTGTTGGTTAAGGTTTTATATTTATTTTGCACTACTTATGCTACTAACCTGTATAATGTGGTATTGTTTATTGTTAAAATTATTGTATTGTATTGTTGTAATTACTGTATTTTCTTGACATAGAACAGCCATAAGTTTCTGATAAGAAACTGGCAACATTCTAATAAAGTCTGTGATTATTAGAACTATAAATGTTTTTTTATTTCTAATACATTACAGTAATTAAGCTAACAAATTTTCCCCAAAATGTTTATTTCCCCATGAAAATGTGATTCAATTTAAGAACTGATATTTTAATAAAAGATTTGAGATTAGAATCTACATAATATATAAAATGCTAATGTTTATCTGTGTCGTCTCTACTGAAGTAACGACTTGCTTTAGAAAGTTGCTGTTTTTACTAAAAAGATAGCTAATTGACTCTTCTAAAAACTGTCGTCGCCGGACTTTTGTTTTTCATTTAATTAAAAAAATAAAAAGTCTTTTTTTCTGATGTCGTGGCGGATGCGCCAGGCTTCAACTAGTTTGAGAATAATGAGCTCTCTCCAAGTAAAGCTATGGTTCTCACTTATGCATCAAATTAGATAGTGATCATGCAATCTGCAAATGAAACAATTTTAATTTACACCAATAATCAATGCAACTTTGACTAAAATCACTTGATGTAGGCTTTATAGGTATATTACCAAATATCAGCCAAATACATTAACCACATTCCTTCTTTAAAATGAGCAAATAATATTACATTTCGTAACTTTAATGATATTTGTATGTTTTAAAAATATATGAATGCAGATCAATTTTAAATATAGCCATATTTCTAAAAATAGTCAAAAACTATAAAAAACAAAATGAACAACCAAAACAGTCAACTACTGTTAGCAATTTCGCATAATAAAATTATTGTCTGTGATTATTGTTCGATTCTCGATTATTCATAATGTTCAAAATTCCCGCAAAGCGCTTCTTGCCGAACAAAACCGAACTCTCCGTGTAGGATCCGAATGCTTCCGAGGTTTTCGTGAGTTTTAGTGTCGTCTGCTTTAGTGGCTGTGGTAACTAATCTAAGACATACTGTTTGACCAGCGGATCTGAAGCTGCGGTAGGAATGCGAGAAAAAATCGATATTGCCACGTTTATCTAAAAAATTGCAAAATTGCCAGACGTGAACTATAAATTTAATATATTTTTATTATATATAATGTGTTTAGCATATATTCTGACGTATATTACTAAGGAATTTTAACGTAGTTCATATTGTTTGATAATGTTTTATTTAATAACTTATTTCTTTCATTCTGTATAATCTGCTTATTATGAAAGTTGAAGATTTTCAATGATATCATTGGCAAACCGGCATCGCCCGCGCATGGCCGCCTATTCATTGAACATGATTGGCGAGAGTACGTCACAGGATTGCCATGCGGTTGCCATGGCTTTTTACGCCTTTCTATTTGCTGCTTTATCCCCAACTTCACGGTCTCTTCTGAAAAGAGTAGGAATATTGAATACTATTGAAATATCCAGTGGCGGTGTCATTTTTTTGATCATTATTACTTTATTTCATTATTTTATACCGGTTATCCTAAACTTTATTCCTATATTTTTAGTATATTTGATAGTTAAGTTGTGTTTTATTGTTTTGTTATCTTGTTATAATGTTTTTCGTTCGTAGTTTTTAATTATTAATATCAAGTTTGATCGTATATTTGTGTTTTAAAACGAATAAATTTGTTAAGGGTAAGACGCTACATAGTCAGACAAGAGAAATAATAGCTAATTTATATAGGTAAGTTAATAATAACGTGGATGAAATCTCATTTGGTGTATTTCCTTGTGTTCATAATAGGGTTTGCGATGAAGAAGCTACAGAGAGTTCGCTTGAGTTGCCGCTTAAACGTAAACTTGAGCGGATATTTCTTTATACCGGAGTTAGCGTATCGGCTATAAAAAAATTCACACAGAAGATAAAAAAAAGGCTGAAAACTAACCCCGATAAAATGATATCCTCTCTGGAAAGAAACGACCACGTGAGACTGCTGTCGAAAAGCTCAACGACTTTTTCGAAGTGGTCAGGAATTTGATAAATAGATTTTATCTCGAATTCAAACTCGTCCCCACAATTAGAAAGCTTTTGCAAAAATTGCAGGAAGAATCGAATTTTCCTTTTGCAGGGAAACGCTTAGGGGGTTATTAAAATCAAATGAATTTTTTTGGCGTAAATGTTAAAATAACAGATAAATATTAATGGAGCGGCCCATTATATTGCAGAGAGAGATATAAATATATATACGCGAAATTCGAAAATATAGCCAAGTATTATCTATTTGGATGTAACATATGGGTAGACAATGACCTAACCTTTAAAAACTGCTGGCGGAGCGATACCATATCTGGTGTAATAGGCAATATCAGATCTACTGATGAGTAAAATTATGTTTTGTTTGCGCTTCCAAAGTTAACTATTTTCAAGATTTTTTTTTGCTGGAAATAGTTATATCTAAAATTATGTATTATAGAAAAAAATATAGTTAGTACAGATATATAAATAAATATACCTCAAGACTCAGTCTTGATCATCTGCTGATGGCAGACGTGGTTAGCGAAACGTGGGTCAGTGTAAAATTAAAAGTGTTTTGGTGTATTGTACTGATTTAGTGTTTTATTTTGCTGTGTAACACCAAAGGTTCCAACCCCCAGCTGTAATTATTTCTTCTATTATATTAACAACACAATAATAAAATGATTCAAAATATTTAAGGGGAGCTTTAATAAAAGCTTTTAGTATTAAAAAGCTGAGTATTATATTTATGATACACATTATTTTCATATAACACCGTATGCCCATGCCTATTTTATGAATGAAATTGGGCGTGTTTTGTTTACAACTGCGTTCCCCCTGCCGATACCCCATAGCTACAGATCCGTTGGTCACACTATACGTCTTGTTCAAAAATGCTTTGGGGTCCGTCTGACCCCACCTCGCCAGTTACGGGTTAAGTATCACAGTTTCCGCAGAATGGCATCGTTAAATGAAACCGAACACATCGAAATTAATTAAATCGAATTGTTAAAGTTATATTTTCAAAAGTCAATAACTCGGAAATGCTTGGTTTGAGGTATATTGTGTGTATCTCTATTTTTGCTTAGAAATTTAAGGAGGAATTTAAATATGCAATAATATACAGGGGGTACCATTCAAAAAAATTACCGACCTGTATACTTAAATTTATTACTCGCCAATAGGCATTTAAAAACCCTATAACTTTAATATTAAACTTTTTGCGCTATCTATTATAACTATATACAGGGTGTTCCATTTAAAAAAATACAACTATAATATTTTTTACTTATTTGGGACACTCTGTATCTTGTAAAAATATTTTTAAATTGTAGCTCTAATAGACCTTCAACAAACCCAAAACTTACAATTTGTAAAAATCTAATCGTTTAGCTACAATACTCCGTGTCGTATGTGGTGAACAACCCTGTATTTTTGTAAATAATTCTTAGTTTTTTAGTGATTTAAGACAATATCAATTAGCAACATAAAAAGTGGCTTATTATGATTTATACGTAAGTTCGTGATATAATAATAATATGCATAATGAACATAAAATAATAGTAATTATCATTGCCCTTGAAATGTATTACACTTGTTACAACTATTATAAAAATATTATTAAGTATAAACATTTTAGTAACAGCACACCTGTTTTTTTTCAGTTGATTTTCTAATATAATTACCAACTTCTATATTTTTAGAACTACTAAACACAATAAAATCTAGCCAACTTATACAGGGTGAGTTATCTACGATGTTCTCTATGGGTATCTTGGAAACTACTTGAGCTAAAGAGTCGGTAATGGGGAAATAATTGCAATTTTGTGAGGACAAATATATGCGCCTTTCGGATTTTTGCAAAAAGTTTATGGCTTACTGGATATGTAAAAAAACAAATTTAAGCTATTTTAAAACTGCTCCTATTCCATTATAATCTATTTTAGACAAAAAAGTTTTCAGATAAAATTGTAGATAAGATTGTAGATAATCATATCCTTTTTTCTAAAGCCTGTCATTTTTGACATATGACACAAATATATGTTTTTTTTTAATTGGAAACCATAGTTGGCTATGACGATGAAGATTTTCAGCGATATAAGCTATATTTTTTTCTGTGTTGTTTAAAAATTACTGAAAAGTTACTGAGTTATCCAATTCTTATCTTTTTTGACTAATGTCAGTTATAGTTGGCATGGTATTGAATGCATCAGTGAAAGTCATAATGCAACCAATGTATTGATGCGCGAGTCTCCCTAATTACAGTATACAGGGTCCGGCAATAGTGCGTCGGGCATCTGTAGCTCCTAGAATAAACAACTTGAGAATTTGGTTAAGTGCAAACCTAAAGTATATACCAAGATGTTTTTTTTTAAATGGAACACCCTGTATATTATTGCATTTTTGACTTCCTTTCCGATCACTTTACATCACCCTAAGCTATGAACAAATACATGTTAATAGTTTCAGAGATGTTGAAAAATAAATCAAAAATATATTTTTTTCAGCCCTTCTTAAAAAAAATTATTAAAAATACAGGAACTGTTCTGAAATCAAAACTATATATTAGGTATTTACTTTAGATGGTCTGTACTTACTTTGCTATAAATATGAAAATAGTAAATTATACAGGATGTTCAAAATTGTACGCCAAACTTTCTTAAATATAAATTATTTTTTCTTCGTTTTTTTTAAATAGAACACCCTGATTATTATTTTTTCACTAGACGGAGAATTAAAAATTTTAAAATACTCTAAATAGAGAAAATGTTCATTTTTAAACTCTCGATCTAATAAAAAAATAATATACA